CATCCGCTGGGCCTGCCTGGTGGTGGACGAGGCCCACCGCCTCAAAAACAACCAGTCCAAGGTGAGGAGACCCCAAAAAACCTCCTGAGGAACCCAGAAAACCTCCTGAGGAACCCAGAAAATCTCAAGGGAACCCAAAAAATCTCCTGGGGAGCCCAAAAACCTCAGGGGAACCCAAAAAACCTCGGGAGGAACCCGAACCCCAAAATCTCCAGGATGGGTGTGGGGAGGGGGTTTGGTTCCTGCCTGGTGGTGGACGAGGCCCACCGCCTCAAAAACAACCAGTCCAAGGTGAGGAGACCCCAAAAAACCTCCTGAGGAACCCAGAAAATTTCAAGGGAACCCAAAAAATCTCCTGGGGAGCCCAAAAACCTCAGGGGAACCCAAAAAATCTCCTGGGGAACCCAAAAAACCTCAGGGGAGCCCAAAGAACCTCAGGGGAACCCAAAAAACCTCCTGGGGAACCCCAAGAACCCGAGGATCTCTGATTTTGGGGTCTGAGGGTGTCCCAGGGGTGTCCCAGGGGGTGTCCCACTAGGATTTGGGATCTCAGAGAGGTTCCTCCAGGATTTGGGGTCTCAGGGGGGTTCCCTGGTGGATTTGGGATCTCAGGGGGGTTCCTTCAGGATTTGGGATCTCAGGGTTGGTGTCCCACCAGGATCTGGGGTCTCAGGGTTGGTGTCCCCACAGTTTTTCCGGGTGCTCAACGGGTACAAGATCGAGCACAAGCTGCTGCTGACGGGGACACCACTGCAGAACAACCTGGAGGAGCTGTTCCACCTGCTCAACTTCCTGACACCCGAGCGCTTCAAGTGCGTCACCTGGAGGTCACCTGGGTCACCTGGAGGTCACCTGGGTCACACCTGTCATCTCCTGTCACCTCCTGTCACCTCCTGTCCCACCCAATCCTGGTGTCCCCACCAAGCTGGAGAGGTTCCTGTGTCCTCTCCATGTCCCTCCAGCCCACAGCTGTGTGCTCGTGTCACACCATGTCCCACCGTGTCCCCATGTTCTCATGTCCCCGTGTCCCACCATGTCCCACCATGTCCTCATGTCCCACCGTGTCCCACCATGACCCTGTGTGTCCATGTTCTCATGTCCCCGTGTCCCACCGTGTCCCACCATGTCCTCATGTCCCACCGTGTCCCACCATGACCCTGTGTGTCCATGTTCTCATGTCCCACCGTGTCCCACGATGTCCCACCATGTCCTCATGTCCCACCATGTCCCACCATGACCCCGTGTGTCCATGTTCTCGTGTCCTTGTGTCCCACCATGTCCCACCAAGTCCTCATGTCCCACCATGACCCTGTGTGTCCATGTTCTCATGTCCCACCGTGTCCCACGATGTCCCACCATGTCCTCATGTCCCACCATGTCCCACCACGTCCTCACATCCCCATGTCCCACCATGTCCTCATGTCCCACCGTGTCTTCATGTCCTCATGTCCCACCATGTCCCACCACGTCCTCACATCCCCATGTCCCACCATGTCCTCATGTCCCACCGTGTCCCACCATGACCCTGTGTGTCCATGTTCTCATGTCCCCGTGTCCCACCATGTCCCACCATGTTCTCATGTCCCACCATGTCCCTCCATGTCCCACCACGTCCCCATGTCTCCATGTTCTCTTGTCCCCATGTCTCCATGTCCCTCCATGTCCCACCATGTCCCCACATCCCACCACATCCCCACATCTCCATGTCCCACCACATCCCCACATCCCACCATGTTCCACCATGTCCTCATGTCCCACCACATCCCCACGTCCCACCACATCCCCATGTCCCACCATCTCCTCATGTCCCACCACATCCCCATGTCCCACCATGTTCCACCACGTCCCACCACATCCCCATGTCCCCTCATGTCCCCATGTCCCACCACATCCCCATGTCCCACCATGTCTCACCATGTCCCACCACATCTCCATGTCCCACCACATCCCCATCTCCAACCACCACCTCTCGGTGTCCCCACCCTCACCTCCTCCCCACCACCCCCCAGCAACCTGGAGGGCTTCCTGGAGGAGTTCGCCGACATCTCCAAGGAGGACCAGATCAAGAAGCTCCACGACCTGCTGGGTCCCCACATGCTGCGGCGCCTCAAGGCCGACGTCTTCAAGAACATGCCGGCCAAGACGGAGCTGATCGTGCGCGTGGAGCTCAGCCCCATGCAGAAGTAGGGAGATGTCCTCTTCTCCTTCTTCTGGTTCTTCTTCTTCTCCTCCTTCTCCTTCTTCTGCTGCTTCTGCTTCTTCTGCTTCTGGTTCTGGTTCTTCTTCTGCTTCTGCTTCTGGTTCTGCTTCTTCTGCTTCTGCTTCTTCTCTTTCTTCTTCTTCTGTTTCTTCTGCTTCTGCTTCTGCTTCTGGTTCTGGTTCTGGTTCTGGTTCTGGTTCTTCTGCTTCTTCTCCTTCTGGTTCTTCTTCTGCTTCTGCTTCTGGTTCTGCTTCTTCTGCTTCTGCTTCTTCTCTTTCTTCTTCTTCTGTTTCTTCTGCTTCTGCTTCTTCTGCTTCTTCTGCTTCTGGTTCTTCTGCTTCTGGTTCTTCTGCTTCTTCTCCTTCTGGTTCTTCTTCTTCTTCTTCTGCTTCTGCTTCTTCTTCTCCTTCTTCTGGTTCTTATTCTCCTTCTCCTTCTTCTTCTTTTTCTTCTTCTTCTTCTTTTTCTTCTTCTTCTTTTTCTTCTTCTTCTTCTTTTTCTTGTTCTTCTCCTTCTTCTTCTTCTTCTTTTTCTTCTTCTTCTTTTTCTTCTTCTTCTCCTTCTTCTTCTTCTCCTTCTCCTTCTACTTCTTCTTCTCCTTCTTCTGCTTCTGCTTCCTCTTCTCCTTCCTCTTCTTCTTCCTCTTCTTCTTCTGCTTCTTCTCCTCCTCCTCCTCCTCCTCCTCCTCCTGGTGGTGTCCCCAGCAGTGCCACCACGGCCGTGTGTCCCCGTTGTCCCCACAGGAAGTACTACAAGTACATCCTGACCAGGAACTTTGAGGCGCTGAACTCGCGGGGTGGTGGGAACCAGGTGTCCCTGCTCAACATCATGATGGACCTCAAGAAGTGCTGCAACCACCCCTACCTGTTCCCCGTGGCCGCCATGGTGGGGACAACAGGGGGGACAACCGGGTGGTGGGGTGGTGGTGGGACATTGGGGTGTGGTGGGACATGCTTCTTCTTGGTGGGACGTGGAGATGTGGTGGGAGATGGTGGGGTGTGGTGGGATATGAGGAGATGGGGACATGGTGGGACATGGTGGGACATGGGGGGACATGGTGGGACATGGGGACACTGGGACGTGGTGGGGTGTGGTGGGACGTGGAGATGTGGTGGGAGATGGTGGGGTGTGGTGGGAT